CAAATTAACTTGGGATTGAAGAAAAGTTGCGTGTATTGACTCCTGAAATCTCCCAAAGATGGGGGGAAGCCTTACCCTTCAGAGTAGTAGGGTTCTGGAACCAGTTTCTAGTGGCTTAGGAGGGGAGGAAAATAGTTGTGTGATCTATTTATGAAAGAAACTGTATGATGTGGTTGCTTGTGACAGTCATATCCTACAGTCAGTAACTCCCCAAAGGAGGTTTTACTGTTTGGTGATTTTTCAAGAGGTTAACTGGGGGAATACTGAAATAGGGAACCTGATCCTAAACTGGTGTGTGGAAGGACTTTTATAATTCAATACAAATATTTGTGAAAGCTGGTATAAGTTGGTATAGCTCAAAACTTAAGTTAGTTTGACAGCACCTGAGAACACGGTGCACAACCAACTGGGTGTTATTTTGATACTGAAACCAAACTTGCTTTGTGAAGATACTGAGCATACATTGGTTTCTTTAGTGTGGATAGAAAATTTCATTCTCTATCACTTGTATAAAATTTTATTTGTAAAATTTTAAGAAATAAATGCTTTGTTCCAAGACAAATAAATACTGCTAATTTTCCGTTCAGCTGTTTCTTTTCTTTTTACATAGTTATCTTTCAACATTACCGGATTCAAAAGGAGCTCTTCAAAGGGTGTGATTCCAAGAGCTGGTTCAAGAATGCATGAAGGAGAAACAAATAAAAAGAGGGATCATGGTATTAACCACGCATCTTGTAGCAAGCTTGATAGTTATGTTCAAGCTAAAAGACTCAACATTTTCTGGTTTTACACATAAATGCACAGTTAATTTTTCCAGTAAGTAGATAACTGTAAATTGGTTTCTTGTAGGAACTTTCAAATGCTCTGATCTTCATGGATGATTTGAATGAGGTGTGCTGCTGAGTATGTGTTTTGATTTTGTTGCTGTACTCCCTGAAAAAATGTTTTTGGCAGGAGAACAAGGTTCTCTCCAAACGTAGAAAACAAATGTAGCTTGTAGTTTGGCTTTGTTTCAGCATAGGATGTACAAGCATGTATAGAGATGTCTTCTCTGAGAAAGTTCTTCTAAACCTAATGGTAGCACCAACACTATCTGTAGACCTCATAACTATTTTATCACCATTTTGCAGATAACAATTTCAGCACATTACACTGTTATCATGCTGCTGGGAGTAGCCATATCTGACAATTTCCACTCTCAAATCCCGAAGCATTGCCATGGGTTACAAAGCTCTCTGTTAGCATGTCTGGTAACCAAATGGCTGGTTATAAACTTGATCATGTCTTTATATTGCCAGATATTACTTAAAATCCATATATTTAAGCACACTGAATTGATGATGCAATTGGCAGTACTAAACTTCAGAGAATTATTCATAGTTTGTTATGTATAAAGGTCACAGTTCAGTATTTCTGTCTGCGTGACACAGTTCTGCGCTGACTTTATTGTGTAGGTAGGTGACCTAAGGCTTGTGTGTTGCTTTAGGGATTGTTAGCATTTTTGGGTAATTAATACAGTGGAATAAGAGTTTGTATAAATCCTGGACATCAAAGGTCATGGTAGCTCACCTTCTTACAGCTCCTGATTTCATTTGAACTTCCAGTTTGGAGGGGGCAACCCCATTTTCTTGTCTGTTGGAAGTAAAAAGCGCCCAGTACAAAATGCACCCCTGTGTCTGGAAACAGCTGTTTGTAGGAAGTAGGGTGTCTCAATCTAATGATGCTATTAAACATGTTTGTATCTGTAACCTTGTTTAGGTGCAGTGGCCAATTCAAAATGGTGCTTTGGGAGGAGGAATGATGGCCATGATAATGGCATGCTCACTGGCAGTAGATGCAGTGCTGGGGTGGAACATTTGAATTTTGCACTCCTGTGAATGAAGAGGACTTTTAATATCAATGCCGATTCTCAGCTTCCCTAAGGCCCCATGCTTGCACCCTTTTCCTATGTAGCCTTGAAAACTGCACTGACGGCTTGCTGTTAATGCCAAGGCTATTTAAATATTGCAAGATAATCTCGACTCTAGGTCACAGTAGCCTTGCACAGCACAGTATGCTCCTTTCTTTTCACTGATAAATCTTGGATGATTGGTGGAAGAAACTGAAAATTTAAGACCAATAAAAATATCAGCACTTTAAAAGTAAACTTGGGGATATTTTGAAGCAAAAGGGCAGTATTGTGAGTAAGGAGAGCATTATGCATTCAAATGCTGCTTCTAGGCAATTTCTGTTACATCTACTATTGCTCAAAGGATTTTCTGTACTGTCTGACACTGGAGCATGGAAGCACTTCGATCTGTTTCTTTGATGCAGGCTGCTACTCCTGCTGAGAACACTTTACCTTGCAGATAGCCCAGCTGCCGCAAGTGAGAATTCTTCAACGCCCAGATGGTTAAATTCATAGGAAGCAATTAGTCACAAGTTTTTTCAAGGAAGAGGCCATCACTGGGCTAAACTCTCATCCTATTTCTTGTAAGGATGACAGATTCTGCTTCTTTGGGCTTGCCTGCTGTCCATACAGATCTTCATTTTTGTTCCATCCCTGTGGCATAAAGATTGTATAGCCCCCTGTATACAGGGCTCTGCATCTGACTGGAAAAGGAATTGCTAATTCCATTCAGGTTTGTATTTCTTATAAATAAATGATTTTTTGAGAATCATGAAAAATATTTTTATCTATTGTGTAAGCTTTATCCTAACATAAGCAAAGTGTAATCGGTACTCTAAGCAGTGTCTGACTAATGTTGCCCTTAAAAACTGAATCATTTAAAAGGCTGTCAAGTTCCTCATCATCGGATAGGGTGATGCCTGGGTCACATCTTGTGTTGTATGCATGGCAGTGCTGTTTAAATTTATTTCTTCCAGAACGTACATGCAAAGAAAAAAAAGTTTTGCTTTGAAGGTTTTATGGGTGTGTGTACTAGATTAACTTTTGCCCTGATAGTTCATATCTATTGACATTGTGCTGTCAGTATCACCTGTCAAATTCCGAGAGGGTATGTGTCTGTAGTATGTCAGGAATTTCAAATATAGAAATGCCAATATTTGTAACATAGTACTTCTTTAACTTGGGTTATAACTAATGGGAAAATACAGCAAAAGCTTCTAGTGATTATTTGGAGCATAAATTAAGTAGCTTGGTAGGAGTAGCTAGGGAGAAGAGAGTAGTTCTGGTTTTCCTGCTTCAGTAGAGCAAGATAACTGCTCTCTGGACAACCAGCTGAGAGTTTTCCTTCCACTAGTGCTCTTAAACTTGCCTTTTGCATTATCAGCCATCAACTACCAATTCAAAGAGACTGATTATATGAAACAAATTCATGCTACTGTGATTACAACGGATGTAAAACTCAAGGATATAGGTTTGACATTGATACAAACTAAAATTTATGACAGCTGAATTTATTCTTATGCTATATGGTAACGTTATTAATACACATTTCTCCAGTATGAAAAAGGCTTCAGTTCTTTGACTATTCAAATACTGAAAGAATCAAATCAAAATTATTTATTCTTCCGTGACTTGTCTTAAGCTTTGTACTTAATTAGCTATTTTTTCTGTTAATAATTGCCCTTTGGAAGGTCATGCTTTAAGAACTGTAAGTCCAAAATATTTACAGCCTGGTTATGTGAATGAACTTGTGTAATAAATACACTTAATAAACTTGAGTCTGTCCTCCTTTGACCTACAGGCAAACGTAGTACACCAGGAAGAAGCGGGACAGAAACAATCCAAGAGGACAACAAAATACTTTTGCATGCTATGTAAGTACTGGAATAGAGAATAACTAATTCATATGACGTGGTTATCATTTTCTTGGTGTGATGCGCTTCACACTGCAGTAGCACCTGTCCCAATTCAGCAGTGGCTATAACCATGTATCCATGTTCATCTCTCTTCACTGAAAAAGAAAGCTTACTATCAATTTCAGTGTACTTAGAATCAGGCCCTTAAAAAGGTGACCCAAGTCCATATTAAGGAGTTTCTTAATTCAAGTCAGTGTTTATCACTTTATTATATGTGTGAAATTAACCATGCTCTTGAGAAAGAAACATCTCTGACAGAAAAAAAACCCAAAACCGTACTGGTGGAGCACGTTTAACTGTTTGCTGTCTACAGTGAGTCATGCTACAAGACTGAACACTTGTGAGGAAAAATGGGATATCATTGCCAGAATTTCAGCTGTGCTGAAAAAAATGGATATATCAAGGAAGTAGCTATGATAAATTGCCAAAATATCTTGAAATGCACCTGTTCTTTTTTCTTAAGGTGGTAATAAGGAACCATCTCAATGTCTGGAAAGTATGTTTTATTGTAATGTTTGGCTTTCCAGCTGGCATGTTGAGGATCACTTGGTGATGGGTTTTCTTTGATGCAGGTTGCATCTAAGAGCCTTTCCCCCTGGGAGGCAAATACAAGCGAGGCTTTGATGTAGTCATTGAGTGTACCAGGCAGCCCTGAGCCCAGGTGTGGGAGGCAGCCGTGATGGCTAAGAAGTGGTTCGCGGCTGTGGTGTGATTAGGTGGAGATGGAGAGAAAGGAAATGGGTGCTCTAGCATTTAGGACGATTATCACATGTTAAAACATCACTTCCTTCTGATGTACTTAATTTCCTAATGTTTTCTTTATAAAATTACGTTGTTGGAGTGATGCCTCCTCTTGTGTTTTCCTGAAGTATGCTTACGCTTGCTTAAGAAAGAGTTTTTGAAGAATTTCTCTGTATGTATTAGCCTGAAGGTTTTATTGCGTAAAATCCCGGCTGACAAAAAAGACACGTCATGGGTAGGAAGACACCAAAACAGAGAAGGCAAACTTGA